ACCTTGGTCTACTTCTCCTCCACCCCTAACACTACCTCACACCCTCGTGGCACCTTCCCTTGCAATTGCAGCAAGTCTAACATCTGCCCGTTTACTGCCTCCCTCCTCGTTATCCAGGTGAAGTAGTGATTTACCTGCACTTCAGTCAATCTAGTCAACTATACTCATTGCTCACAATGTGGTCTCCTCTACATTGGGAAGATGAAGCACCGAGTGGGCGAAGACTTTGCAGAACACCTACATTCTGTCTGCAAAAATGACCCTGAGCTTCCAGTTGCCCGCCACTTCAACACAGAACATGCTCCTTGGCCAATATCTCTGTATCAGGCTTGCTGCAGTGCTCCAATGAAGCTTAGTGCAAGTTGGAATAAGAGCACCTCTTTTTCAGCTTGGGAACCCTATGGTCTTCTGGACTCAATATCCAGGCCAAAAATTTTAGGACTTCAGCATCTTCTCCTACATCCTCTCCTGAATCCCCAGTCACCAGGCTTTGTCATCACACAGGCAGCTATCACAAACAATCCACAGTCAGCCACTAATGATCTCAATTAGCAGCTATTCATTCTCCTAGGCTGACCTTTATCCATTCCTTTGAAGATAGCAAGAACAGCAGATGCTGGAGTCAGAGATAACACAATATGGAACTGGAAGAACACAGCAGGCCAGGCAGCATCAGAGGAGCAGGAAAGTTGATGCTTCAGGTCAGGACCCTTCTTTAGAAATGGGGAGGGGGAAAGGAGCTCAGAAATAAATAGAGAGAGGACGGTGGGGCTGAGGAAGGTAGGTGGGATGGTGATAGGTGAATGCTGGTACAGAGTGGTGGGGATTGGTCAGTGAGGTGGGAGGAGCAGATAGATGGGAGAGAAGATGGACAGGTTGTGTCAGGTCAAGGAGGCGGGGATGAGAGGGAGGGTTGAGCATGGGATGACGCTGGGGGGAAAATTTTAAAATCTATGGACAGAACCAATGTCATCTATAAGATTCCCTGCAGAGACTGTGAGAAACACTACATCGGACAAACAGGAAGGAAATTAACAACAAGGGTACACAAACACCAACTGGCTACAAAAAGACACGACCAATACTCACTCATCTCTATCCACGTGGATAAGGAGAACCACCAATTCGACTGGGACAACACCAAAATCCTGGGACAAGCTAAGCAGAGACAGGCACGGGAATTCCTAGAAGCCTGGTACTCCACGAAGAAAGCCATCAATAAACACATAGAACTTGACCCCATATACACTCCACTACAAAGGAAAACCGGAAGTGAGGCAATCCAGCTCAAAGGACTCCAGAAGAATGTAAAAACCAGGCGGGAAAACACACCGGCGCTTCATTGGAGGCTGCACTGATGATGTTACCCAGCAGGGTAATGAAACATCTGTGGAACAAGTCAGCTCGGCAAGGCAACCAACCACAACCCAACCAACAAATCTACTCCAAAACCTTAGAGACATATCCCAGTGAGGAAGAAAGATTCTAGGAAGGGGATAAGCCAACAATGGTTAATTAGGAAAGTGCAGGATAGCATCAGAATGAAAGAAAAAAAGCATACAATGTAATAGATTAGTGATAAGCCAGAGGATTAGGAAAGTTTTAAAAATCAACAAAAAAAAAGACCTAAGAAATACTACAGAGAAACAAAATAAACTTTGAGGGTAAACTTGCAAGTACTATCAAGGCAGACAGCGAGAGCTTCTTTAAATAAATAAAAAGGAAAAGATAAAACAAACTGAACATAGGCCCTTTAGATTATGAGGCTGGGGAAATAATAATGGGGAACCAAGAAATGGCACCAAAGTTGAATAATACTTTGCATTTGTTTTCATAATATAACATGCTGATAGCATTCCAAGATCACTAAATATGCTATGGACACCTGGAGGAGAGGAAATAAGTACAATAACTATCACTAAAGAAAAGGTAATAGGAACCTAACAGCACTAAAGACCGATAAGTCCCCTGGACGCGGTGGGATACATCCTTGGACATTGAGAAGTAGCTACAGATACAGTACGAGTGGTAATCTTCCAGGAATCCTTACATTCTGAGAAAAGTCCCACACAATTAGAAAATTGCCAATGTGACACTTTTTTTATTTAAAAAGGGAAGGAGACAAAAAAGATAGCTATATCTGTTATTGTGATAAATTTACAGTCTATGAGAAAGGATGTCAAAGCACTTCAAAGCACACAAAAATGCATGATATGATCAAGCGGAGTCAGCATAGCTTCATGAAGGGGAAATCAAGCCACTAGTTGGATCACAGCTGGAATACAGTGAACAGTTTTGGACCCCTTATCTAAGAAAATACATACTGGCGTTGGAGGAACTGCAGAGAAGGTCCACTATGAAGATACCAGGTATGGAGGACTGATTTTGAGGATAAATTGAGTTGTTTGATTCTGCATTCATTGGAATTAGTAGAATGAGAGGCAGCCTTATTGAAACATGCAAGATTCTTAAGAGACTTGACAGGGTAGATGTGGAAAAGTTTTTCTTGTAGGACAGTCTAAGACCAGAGGGCATAACCTCAGGTTAAAGGTTCACATATTTAAGACAGACATGAGGAGGTTTTTTGTTTCTCAAAGGGTTGTGATCTTTGGGATTCTCAACCACAGAAGGCTGTTGAGACTTAGTCATTAAGTACATTGAAGGTTGAGATAGATTTTTAGTTAGTCAGGGAATCAAGGTTGTGGGGAAAAGGCAAGAAAGTGGAGTTGAGGATTATCAGATCAGCCATGATCTCATTGAATGGCAGAGCAGACATGATGGGCAGAATTGCCTAATTTTATTCCTTTGTCTTATGGTCTTAATGGTAAATTAGAGTCAAAAATCCATTAATTTCACATGGAATAGGAAGTAGAAGGATAATCTCAAGATTATTCTTATCAATCCCTGCACAAACATAGTGACACCATGTGCAATCTAATCTGGCCTCCAAGACGTGCAATGATAGCCCCACTTTAAATTCCATGGAAACAGTTGGCACACAAACTGCACACTCTTGGAGAACCTCCTATTTCAAGGACTGCAACTTCACCCCTTCAGTGGTCAAAAATGCTCTCGACACATCTCTTGCATTTCCCGCACCTCTGCCCTCACATCCCCTCCCCGCAACAAAAACAAAGACAGAATCCCCCTTGTCCTCACGTATCACCACACTAACCTCAGGATTCAACGTATCATTCTCCACCACTTCTGCCACCTACAATCCGACCCTACAACCAAAGGCATATTTCCCTCCCCACCCCTATCTGTCTTCCGTAGAGGCTACACTCTCTGTGACTCTCTCGTCCGCTCCACACTCCCCATTAGCCCCAACACCCCCGGCACCTTTCCCTGCAACCGCAGGAAGTGCTACACCTGCACCAAAAAGTCGCGTCTCAACTCGATCCAAGGAACCAAAAACACCTTCCACATCAGACAGAGGTTCACCTGCACATCCGCCAATGTGGCCTACTGCATCCACCGCTCCTGTTGTGGCCTCCTCTACATTGGTGAGGCCAAGCGGAGGCTCGGAGACCACTTTGTAGAGCACCTGTGCTCTGTTCGTGACAAATGACAAAGCTTCCAGTCGCGAACCATTTTAACTCCCCCTTCCACTGCCTGGACGACATGTCCATCCTGTGCCTCCTCCAGTGTCACAATGACACCACCCGGAAACTAGAGGAGCAACACCTCATATTCCGCCTTGCGAGCCTACAACCCAATGGTCTCAATGTGGACTATACCAGTTTCAAAATCTGCCCATCCCCGGCCTCATCCATGACCAACCCTCCCTCTCATCCACGCCTCCTTGACTTGACACAACCTGTTCATCTTCTCTCCCACCTATCTGCTTCTCCCACCTCACTGACCAGTGCCCACCAATGCATAATTGCAGTCAACTATCAGCATTACAAGTACATTCCCCAGGCCCAGCCCTCTTGTGTCTATTTATTTCAGAGCTGCTCCGGCCGCCGCATTTCTGAAGAAGGGTCACGACCGGAAACGTCAACTTTCCTGCTCCTCTGATGCTGCCTGGCCTTCTGTGTTCCTCCAGCTCCAAACTGTGTTATCTCTGACTCCAACATCGGCAGTTCTTACTATCACTAAAGTTACAACAGTCTTAATTACACAGATTCCCAGAGACTCCTTTATGAACTCCAAGTAAACCTTGTTAAATGGTCAGGTCCACCCTGCAAAACTGAAGGTAACTAGACCTATCTAATTCACTGTATTACCCACAGCTCCTTGTTCATGCGCCTTCTCCGTTTTCTCCTGCTGCAGCTCTTCCTTGTCTAAACCCACAGATCTTCTGTTGATATTGCTTCTATGTCAAGTGTTACCAGGTCACAGGGACAAGTATTTTTTTGCTTTCTAGGAATATTCCAGTTGATCCTATTACATTTGATAAAACTCTTTTAAAAAAAAAACTTTTAAATATTCCTAAAAGCAATTACAGACACCGTAGATGTTTTAAAGAAATTATAAATTTCCTTACTGTCATGCTTCAGGTCAAAAATTGTAACAGTATTCTGTGGCTTCAGGGCAGTAGTAAAATAAAAGTACAACTAAAAGCAAAAGTGCCACGGATGATATATTCAGCTTGTTTCATATTAAAGATTTGCCAGTGATAAAATTTCTCATTTGGAGTAAGACAAAAACTTCGGCTAATTCTCCATTACTACCTGTATTGTCTTTCTTGCCTAAACAGTGAATTTGAAATTCTACCCAATTGTGTAATTCATACATCTCAGGGGATGAACTGGACATGGACATAGAAAAGTTTCTAGCTAGTGGCATCAGGACATTATTACTCCAGTCCCCAGTGTCTGAAATGAAAGACATCAAAAACTGGATTTTCACGGCACTAAGCCTGTGATGACAAGACCTCCAAATGGTGTCATTGTGTTAAAGCTTTCTCTTTTTGAATTGAAACACAATAAGACAAAGATTCAAATTTTAATTGTAACTCCAATTCTAATTAAAAATTCAAAGCAAACCCTTACCAAACAGAAGTGGTTTTAGGCTCAGTGTTTTCAAGTAGTGTATTTTGTTAGGAACCAGATCCACCTTTTGCTTGTGGCCAACCTGCAAGGAAAGAAAGAAATATCACATTATATGAAGTGACAAAAAAATTAATACTAAGGATGCAAATTAGAGCTTCAGAACCAGTGACTGATGAACTAAAGTAACAAAATAAATATGTCCTTACATCAACAGTTCACGATAAGAAGCATTTTAAGGTGTAAGGGTGATGAGCTTTTCAATCAGTGACGCTTCTAATATCACAGGCCCATTAGAATCATTCTGACACCTTCCTTACATTCCGGTAAAGACAGAAGGGGAAAAAAAAACTCATGAGTGATCCTTCTCTCACTTCAAATTCACAACTTTTCGCTACAACCTTTCTTATTTCTACTGTATCAATACTCGTAACTATGGTGATCACTCTGAACTTTCCTCTCATGTTTCACCTGAACTCCAAATATGCTATTACACATTTTTTCATCCTCCTCCTTCTGATAACATAAATGGAAATGCAAACTTCACTGTTCTTTTTTGTACTTTAACACAAGACTGCAAGATTTCACAACTCTGGCGTTCTTCATATCACTTATGGCTGGTACCATTCTGGAACACCTGCTCATCTCTGAATGTCACAATATCCTTCCTAAAGTGTGGTGCCAGAGCTGGACACAATGCTCCAAGTGGATTTAGCCAATTATTTGTAAAACAATAATTAGAGCCAAACCTCCTGCTTTCGTACTCAATACCTCTACTAATAAAGCCAAAAATTCAGCACTTTGTGTCAAGCAAGTTTATCAATTTGCCAAACCACCCGCAAAGATCTGTGGCTGTGAAATTCCAGCTTTCATCACTTCCCTTTAAAATTGTACCATGTAGTCTATATCATCTCTTCTCAATGTTCCTTGTGAAATGCATCACTTCACACCTTTCTGCATTAAATTTGACCTACCACTTGTCTGCCCATTTCACAAAGATTTCTGTTCCTGAAACACCCATACTGTATTATATCATGCATATCACACTGTCTCTGCTCAATGCACGTGTACATTGCTGTCACTGTTTCTTCCTACACCCAGTTCAGTGTCTTTTACTCCCCCTTTGGTTCATTACCCCTGTCAACAGTCTCCAGCCACTTCAGGTTAACCCCACACCTCCAAACCTTCCCAGTCTACATGAGCCAGCCTTCTCAACCTCCTCTTCCCTGAGCCAAACCATTACACATCCCACTCCTCTGCCATAATCTTGGTATCTCCACTTCAGAACCACACACCACCGGCCCCTTCACACTCCTTGACTCCTACACCCTTTTGGGCCTGTCCTCTCCTCCATCCTGCCTCCTCTCGCTGGATCCACAGCATTCCGGACTGCTCCCACTAATCTATCTTCTGCCCATTCTCTGAAACTCTCCCACTGTAGCCCTTCCACTTCTCCTTAAGTCCCATTATTGCTCCTCCCCCACTCCTCTGCACTCCAACTTTCCCAAGACCCAATGCTCTAATTAACCTCTCACCTCTTCTGCCCCTTTGTCCCAACATCACACAAATCCCTCACATATACACCGCACATATGCACGCTTACCCTACGCTCTCCTATGCCACTCCCTACTGCATCACCCCACCTCCTCTTGCACAACTGCACCTGATTCCTAACTGTCCGTGTTCCCTGTCTTCTGGAACCGCTTCACCCACTCCTGGTCCAGTCTCTCCAACAACGCCCCTCCCACCTCACACAACTCTGGTCCTGCCTTTCCCAACATCCCCAGCCACACAACTCTGGCCCTGCCTCTCACGCATTCTGCCCCTCCCGCCAGCCAAGCCTGCCCATCATCCCTCTCACCCCTGGCCCTGCCTTCCCCAACAACTCCCCACCCCACAACCCTGACCCTGTCTTCCCGCCACCCTCACACACAACTCTGGCCCAACCTTCCCCTCCCCACTCTCCTTCCCCACAAACACACCTCTATTCCTCACATACACCTTTTCTGCCCCTCACCTCTCTCCCCCATCTCACTTCTCCTTTCAACACCCCCAAACTCTGGATCTCCTCTGCTCCCCAACACCCCAAACTGGATCTCCCCACGGTCACACCCCCCAACTCTGGATCTCCCTCCTCACAACACTAGATCTCTCTGCCTCACCAGCTCCCCAGTTCTGGACCCCACCATCCCCTCCAACTGGATCTCCTCACCACCACCAACACCAGCCACCAAGTCTGGATTTCCCCACTGCCTCACCCTCCAACTCTGGACCCCCCCTCCTTCCACCCCCCCCCCCCAGCCCCCCAACTCTGGACCCCCCCAATCCCCCCAGCTCTAGCCCTCCCTCCCTCCCCCCCACAACATTGGATCGCCTTCGCTCCTCCCCACAACACTGGACTCCATCCTCCCCACCACTCTGGATCTCCCTCCCTCCCCAACAACCCAACCTGTATCTCCCCACTATCACACCCCCAACTCTGGATCTCCCTCCCCCCCCCACTTGGATCTCTCTCCCCCCCCTCCCCCCCCCCCCAACTCTGCACCCCACCACCTACCCAACTCTATAACCCACCACCTCCCCAACAGAACCCACCACCTCCCTAACTCTAGATCTCCCTCCCCCAACACTGGATCTTCCTCCCTCGAACACCCACCCCAACACAGGATCTCCCTCCCTCTGCAACTCACCAAATCTGGGTCTCCCCCCACCGACCACAACTCTGGAACCCAACCCCCCAACACTGGATCTCCCTCCCTCCTCGGCCCCCCAACTCTACATCCATCCATCCATCCATCCAACCAACCAACTCTGGCCCTCCCCTCTCCCCCAACTTTGGATTTCCCTGCTCACAACTGGATCCCACCAGGATCTAACTCTCTTTCCTAACCCCCACTCTGGTCCTGCCCACCATGCACACGCCTTCTCATCCAACCTGCCCCGCCCCCATTACCTTGATGCCCTCCAGCCGGCGCAGGCGGCCGAGCACCATAGCTTGTTGTTGTTGTTGCTGCTGGGAGACGGGTTCCGGTGACGGTGGCTGTGACGGGACGAGTGGTCCCTGCGGCGGGGCCGCGCCTTGACCGCTTGGCGGGAGCGCGCCGCTGTCGGTGGGCGAGTGCGCGCTCTCGCTGGTGTAGTAGACGTACAGCAGCAAGGCCATCACATTGAGGATGTAAACGTGGACAAACACCATGACAACCACGAAATAAGAACGCGAGCACACACTGTCCTTCTGCGACATCTTCAGCCGGCAAACATTTGATAGGTCCCCGTCCCCCCCAGACCCAGCTTGGTTCCGGTAAGTGGACCCCTGTGCCTCCCCGCCCCCAATCCCCCCCCACTTCTCCTTAGTGTGCCCCTCTCTCTGCCCCTCCCCTCATTCTACCCGCTCCGCCCGCGGCCGTTATTTTCAAACTTGAGCTCGCGAGCGACACGGAGCGAGCCTCCGGGAAACGTCACCACGTCTCCTCACGCCGCCCGACCTCTGGGCAACGTCAACAAGCCCCGCCCACTTCTCCTGGGATCAAAGAAGGGAATAGAGTGGAGAGTGGGGAGTGGGGAATGGGGAATATAATGAAGAAGAGGATAGGTGGGGAAGTGGGGTGGAGTATGGTTGGGGAATAGGGAGGGGACGATTTTTGGGGAGAGAGGAGGATAATGGAGGAGAGGTGAGGAAGGGTTGAAATAGGGGGCTGAATAGGTTGGGAAGTGGAGTGAATAGGTGGGAGGAGATAGATGGCGAAGGGGGAAGAAAGGGGGGAAAGAGCCGGGCATAGTTAGGGACGTTGGGGGGATAGGTGGGGAGGGTAAGTAGGAAGGAATGATAAGTTGGGAAGTGGGGGAACAGGATAGCTGGGAAAATTATCATGTGGAGGTGGACAGGTGGAGAAGTGGGAGTGATAGATGGGGAAGTGGGTGAGGTTAAGGGTTGATGGGAGACAGAAGGAATGGTTGGTAGGAACAAGGGGGATTGTGAGGTAGGAGTGGTGAGGTTGGGGGCAATCATTGGGGGGATAAGCGGGGAAGAGACATGAGGTTGGATGGGTGATGGGGGATAGATAAGGTGGGGAAGTGAGGTGAGGTTGCGAGGGATAGGGACAGATGTGGCGAATGGTGAGATCAAGTTGAGTGTGTAGGTAGAAAAGTGGCTGATATCGGGGGCGATAGGTGGGATGAAAATATGAGGAGGAGTGTGATGGGGATGGGGGTATAGAGGGGAAGTGAGATGAGGTTGGAGGATAGGTGGTGAAGTGGAGTCAGGTTGGGGCTGGTGATTGTTGGGGTGATGGGCTAGTAGATGGAATAGGGTGAGAATGGGGAGGCAGGTGGGGAAGCGGGGTGAGAATGGGGAG